ATCGGGTTCTTGGTCACCTCCCTGACCAAGGCCATTCTCCCCCGATTGCTCAGGTTGCCAGGGCGGCCAGCTCTAGGAAGAGTCTTGATGGTTTCAAACTTACTCCATTTAAGAATGATGGAGGCCACTGTGTTCTTGGGGACCTTTAATGCTGCAGATGTTTTTTGGTACCCTTCCCCAGATCTGTGGCTTGACACAATCCTGTCTCGAAGCTCTACGGACAATTACTTCGACCTCGTGGCTTGGTTTTTGCTGACATGCACTGTCAACTGTGGGACTTTATATAGACAGGTGTGTGCCTTTCCAAATCATGTCCAATCAATTGAATTTACAACAGGTGGACTTCAATCAAGTTGTAGAAACATCTCAAGGATGATCAATGGAAACAGGATGCACCTGAGCTAAATTTCAAGTCTCATAGCAAAGGTTCTGAATATTAGGTAAAGAAGGTATTTCTGTTTTTCATTTTTAATAAATTAGCAAAACTTTCGAAAAACCTGTTTTCGCTTTGTCATTATGGGGAATTGTGTGTATATTGAGGATTCTTATTTATTTAATCAATTTTAGCTGTAACAAAATGTGGAAAAAGGGAAGGGGTCTGAATACTTTCCGAATGCACTGTATGTGTAGACCTGCTCGTCGAATATCTCATTCCAAAATCATGGGCATTAATATGGAGTTGGTTCCCCCTTTGCTGCTATAACAGCCTCCACTCTTCTGTGAAGGCTATCCCACTAGATGTTGGAACGTTAGTGAGGTCGGGCACTGATGTTGGGCGATTAGGCCTGGCTCGCAGTCGGCGTTCCAATTCATCTCAAAGGTGTTTGATGGGGATGAGGTCAGGACTCTGTGCAGGTCAGTCAAATTCTTCCACACAGATCTCGACAAACCATTTCTGTATGGACCTCATTTTGAGCACGGAGGCATTGTCATGCTGAAACAGAAATGGGCATTCCCCAAACTGTTACCACAGACTTGGAAGCACAGAATCGTCTAGAATGTCATTGTATGCTGTAGCATTAACACTTCCCTTCACTGGAACAAATGGGTCTAGCCCGAACAATGAAAAACAGCTCCAGACCATTATTCCTCCTCCACCAAACTTTACACTTGGTACTATGCATTCGGGCAGGTAGCGTTCTCCTGGCATCCAACAAAACCCAGATTTGTCCGTCGGACTGCCAGATGGTGAAGCATGATTCATCACACCACGCAGCCGACGCTTGGCATTGCGCATGTTGATCTTAGGCTTGTGTGCGGCTGCTCGGCCATGGAAACCCATTTCATGAAGCTCCCGACGAACAGTTATTGAGCTGACGTTGCTTCCAGAGGTAGTTTGGAACGCTGTAGTGAGTGTTGCAACCGAGTACAGACTATTGTTACGTGCTTCAGCACTCGGCGGTCCCATTCTGTGAGTTTGTGTGGCCTACACATCGCGGCTGAGCCGTTGTTGCTCCTAGACGTTTCCACTTCACGATAACAGCACTTACAGTTGACCCGGGCAGCTCTAGCAGGGCAGAAATGTGATGATCTGACTTTTTGGATAGGTGGCATCCAATGACATTGCCACGTTGAAAGTCACTGAGCTCTTCAATAAGACCATTCTACTGCCAATGTTTTCTATGGTGATTGCATGGCTGTGTGCTCGATTTTATACAGCTGTCAGCAACGGGTGTGGCTAAAATGGCCGAATCCACTAATTTGAATGGGTGTCCACATACTTTTATTTATTTTTATATATATATATATATATATATATATATAGTGTATAAGACATTGATTGTTGTATATATTAGGAGTATGTGAGACAAGGGTGATGTACCTGTCCAGAGTTGTTTATTAGGAAATGGAACTGTACTAATTATCTCATTTTATGAAACAAGCAACAATTTTGTTTGTCATAGTTTGTTGCCACTACCATTGCTGGCTAACCTTCCTGCACCCCTTCCCCCTCCAAAAGAACCACAATGGAAATAATCTTTAAAGCTTTGTTGTGTGATCCTTGATGATCTTCCTAAAATGTACATTACCGTTCAAAAGTTTGGGGTCACTTAGATATTTACTTGTTTTTGCAAGCAATTTTTTTGTCCATTAAAATAACATTGAATTGATCAGAAATACAGTGTATACATTGTTAATGTTGTAAATGGCTATTGTAGCTGGAAACTGCAGATTTTTTAAAAATGCAATATCTACATTGGCGTATAGAGGCCCATTATCAGCAACCATAAGTCCTGTGTTCCAATGGCACGTTGTGTTTGCTAATCCAAGTTTATCATTTTAAAAGGCTAATTGATCATTAGAAAACCCTTTTGCAATTATGTTAGCACAGCTGAAAACTGTTGTGCTGATTAAAGAAGCAATAAAACTGGCCTTCTTCAGACTAGTTGAGTATCTGGAGCATCAGCAATTGTGGGTTCGATTACAGGCTTTCTTCTGAAACTCGTCAGTCTATTCTTGTTCTGAGAAATGAAGGCTATTCCATGCGAGAAATTGCCAAGGAACTGAAGATCTCGTACAACGCTGTGTACTACTCCCTTCACAGAACAGCGCAAATTGGCTCTAACCAGAATAGAAAGAGGAGTGGGAGGCCCCGGTGCACAACTGAGCAAGAGGACAAATACATTTGAGTGTCTAGTTTGAGAAACAGACGCCTCACAGGTCCTCAACTGGCAGCTTTCATTAAATAGTACCCGCAAAACACCAGTCTCAACGTCAACAGTGAAGAGGCGACTCCGGGATGCTGACCTTCTAGGCAGAGTTGCAAAGAAAAAGCCATATCTCAGACTGGCCAATAAAAATAAAAGATTAAGATGGGCAAAAGAACACAGACACTGGACAGAGGAAGATTTGATTTTTTTTTAATGGACAGACAAATCGACGTTTGAGGTGTTCGGATCACAAAGAAGAACATTTGTGAGACGCAGACCAAATGAAAAGATGCTGGAGGAGTGCTTGATGCAATCTGTCAAGCATGGTGGAGGCAATGTGATGGTCTGGGGGTGCTTTGGTGGTGGTAAAGTGGGAGATTTGTACAGGGTAAAAGGGATCTTGAAGAAGGAAGGCTATCAATCCGTTTTGCAACGCCATGCTTTACCCTGTGAACGGCGCTCGATTGGAGCCAATTTCCTCGTACAACAGGACAATGACCCAAAGCACAGCTCCAAACTATGCAATAACTATTTAGGGAAGAAGCAGTCAGCTGGTATTCTGTCTATAATGGAGTGGCCAGCACAGTCACCGGATCTCAACCCTATTGAGCTGTTGTGGGAGCAGCTTGACCGTATGGTATGTAAGAAGTACCCATCAAGCCAATCCAACTTGTGGGAGGTGCTTCAGGAAGCATGGGGTGAAATCTCTTCAGATTACCTCAACAAATTGACAACTATAATGCCAAAGGTCTGCAAGGCTGTAATTGCTGCAAATGGAGGATTCTTTGACGAAAGCAAAGTTGGAAGGACACAATAATTATTTCAATTAAAAATCATTATTTCTAACCTTGTCAATGACTACATTTCCTATTCATTTTGCTATATTTCCTATTCAAACTCATTTCATGTATGTTTTTTTTAATGATGGTGTTGGAGTCGTGCTTGGCCACGCAGTCGTGGGTGAACAGGGAGTACAGGAGGGGACTAAGCACGCACCCCTGAGGGGCCTCTGTTGAGGGTCAGCGTGGCGGATGTGTTGTTGCCTATTAAGTCCCGTCAGGAATTCCAGGATCCAGTTGCAGTGGGAGGTGTTCAGTCCCAGTGTCCTTAGCTTAGAGATGAGCTTAGAGGGCACTAAGCTTTTGAACGCTTAGCTGTAGTCAATTAATAGCATTCTCATGTAGGTGTTCCTTTTTTCCATGTGGGAAAGGGCAGTGTGGAGTGCAATAGAGATTTTGTCATCTGTGGATCTGTTTTGGCGGTATGCGGATTGGAGTGGGTCCAGGGTTTCTGGGATGATGGTGGTGTTGTGAGCCATGACCAGCCTTTCAAAGCATTTCATGGCTACGGATGTGAGTGCTACGGGGCGATAGTAATTTAGTTATTGGGCACAGTGATTATGGTGGTCTGTTTGAGACATGTAGGTATTACAGACTGGGTCAGGGAGAGGTTGAAAATGTTGTGGCGAAATCCTGCACGGAGCCTTCACCGTGCGCTGCCAATTTAAGAGCGCAGCAGCAGTGAGGAAGGAGGAAATAAAGATGGCTCATCCGGCTCTGTGTAGGAGCTCTCGTTTGGCGGGGCAGTTTTGACGGCGTGTGCAGCTCTGCAGAAGTCTTCCGTAGTTTCAGCGTGTTTAGTTGATTAAAGTTCTAAATTTGATGGCCTTTGTTATCGCGCTACTCCTGATGAGTTGGAACCGTTCTATCCTCTGATCGCATGGATTACTAGCAAGCATTGTTGCAAGCTTTTGTCAAACAAACAGCCAAGGATTGTGTCGGACGGAAAAATACAACAGCTAAGCCCATTTCTCTTTATGTCCTTCAGTAGTATTGGTTGGGTTACCCCTGTGTTGTAACGTGTGTCTTATCCTTTCTCTTCACTGGCTATCTGGCAAACAGGCTACACTCTAGGCAGTCTCTTCTGCTGATGTGTGTGTGTCTGGTAGCGGTACAACAATCATTATCTTTACCCCTCTCTAACAATACCGCTACAATGTAAGTGAAGACGCTTGCCAGCTGGTCACCGCATGCTCTGAGTACGCGTTCTGGTAATCTGTCTGCGGCCTTGTGAATGTTAACCTGTTTAAAGGTCTTAATCACATCGGCTACAGAGAGCATTCCTTTCTTAAGGGCACATCGACAGATTTTTCACATTTTCTGCTCGGGCATTAGAACCATCGACCTTTCGGTGTAACTGATAGGCTACCTGCCGCCCCTAATTGTCCCTAATTGGCTCATTGTCATGGATTATTGACGGGCCATTGAATATTCCAGAATCTAGACCAAACTCAACCTTTATTCTGTCTGGATTGTTTGTAATTGATGAGTACATCGATGCCTTCTACAGGTGCAGTTTGGCCATGCTGGAGCCTGTGCTAACCAGGCCTTTGAAACGGCAGTGGCTAAGAACCAAGCTCTGAAGGACGCTGGAGCCTTCGTTCCCAAGAGCTTCGACGAGCTGGGCGACATCATCAGGTAACTGTCAATAACCACGGAGACAGTCACCATGGAGACAGTACTGCTCTGAAGACGGGGTCATCAATTTGAGACTTTAAAGCACTTCAAACACCGCTCAAGATTAAATATTATTAATATAATTAATGGGTTTTGGTTGAATTACGTTGAGTCTAACGTTTTCCATAGCTTAAAGGGGAAATTCAAATGAGCACTTCAACTCCTTATCATTCTAGCCATCAAATATATCAATGGCCATATATCGCGTCATCTATGTGTGAACCAGTGCTTGTGCTAGTGAGGTTTGAAAATCACTGGTTGAGTCTTGGTTTCATTAGGCTTATGTGTCATGAAATTCCTAAATTCGACCAAAAAATCTGTCCATGTTAACTTTAATCTGTGCTTCTGGGTTATGACAGGACAGTGTACGATGAACTGGTGGCCAATGGAACCATTGTTCCCGCTCAGGAGGTTCCACCGCCAACAGTGCCAATGGACTACTCCTGGGCAAGGGTAAGAAGACCTGGTATTCTACCTTCCAAATAACTGATAATACAGTGCCTTCAGAAAGTATTCATACCCCTTGATTTATTCCACATTTTGTTGTTACAGCCTGAATTCAAAATGATGAAATTAAATTTTTTCTCTCACCCATCTACAGACAATAATCCATAATGACAAAGTGAAAACAGGTTTTTATACATTTTTGCAAATGTATTTAAAATGAATTACAGAAATATCTAATTTACATAAATATTCACACCCCTGAGTCAATACATCACCTTTGGCAGTGATTACAGCTGTGAGTCTTTCTGGGTAAGTCTCTTAAGAGCTTTGCACACCCTGAATTGTAGAGTATTTGCCCATTATTCTTTTTTAAATTCTTCAAGCTCTGTCAAATTGGTTTGTTGATCATTGCGAGACAACCATTTTCAAGTTATGCCATAGATTTTCAAGCAGATTTCAGTCAAAACTAATTCGGCCACTCAGGAACATTAACTGTCTTCTTGGTAAGTAATTCCAGTGTAGATTTGGCCTTGTGTTTTAGGTTATTGTCCTGCTGAAAGGTGAATTCATTTCAGTGTCTGGTGGAAAGCAGACTGAACAAGGTTTTCCTCTAGGATTTTGCCTGTGTTTAGCTCCATTCCGTTTCTTTTTTATCATGGAAATACTCCCCAGTCCTTAATGATTACAAGCATTCCCATAACATGATGCAGCCACCACTATGCTTGAAAATATGGAGAGTGGTACTAAGTAATGTGTTGTATTGGATTTGCCCCAAACATAACACTTTTTATTCACGACAAAAAAGTAATTGCTTTGCCACATTTTTTGCAGTATTATTTTAGTTCCTTGTTGCAAAAAGAATGCATGTTTTAGAATATTTTTTATTCTGTACAGGCTTCCTCCTTTTTACTCTGTCAATTAGGTTAGTATTGTGGAGTAACTACAATGTTATTGATCAATCCTCAGTTTTTTCCTATCACAGCCATTAAACTCTGTAACTGTTTTAAAGTCACCATTGGCCTGCTGGTGAAATCCCTGAGCAGTTTCCTTCCTCTCCGGCAACGGAGTATCTTTGTAGTGACTGGTCTTTGTGGTTGAATCTGTGTTTGAAATTCACTGCTCGACTGAGGGACCATACAGATAATTTACATTATGGGGTAGTGTGTGTAGGCCAGTGACAAAAAAATCTACATTTTATCAATTTTAAATTCAGGCTGTAACACAAGAAAATGTCAAGGGGTGTGAATACTTTATAAAGGCACCGTATATCATAAATCACATAACATATACGCTTCCGTTCAAAAGTTTGCGGTCACTTAGAAATGTCAGTGTTTTCGAAAGAAAGTCATTTTTTTTTGTTCCATTAAAATAACATCAAATTGATCAGAAATACAGCAAACACAACGTGCCATTGGAACACATGACTGATGGTTGCTGATAATGGGCCTCTGTACGCCTATGTAGATATTCCATTTTTAAAAATCAGCCGTTTCCAGCTACAATAGCCATTTACAACATTAAGAATGTCTACACTGTATTTCTGATCAATTTGATGTTATTTTAATGGACAAAATAATAAGCTTTTCTTTCGAAAACAAGGACATTTCTAAGTGACCCCAAACTTTTGAACGTTAGTGTATATGATCATATCTGATGAACATAAGTGAAAGTATTATTGTTTTATTGGTGTGTAGGTGTAAATATAGGCAGCAGTAATGGTTCTGTTGGGGCATGGTACTGGTAACGCCAATGTGGTGAATTTCCCAAGGGTACTAGCATCAGAGCTTGCCTCATTCTTCAGGTTTTTTTAAATTCTTCCCCAAGACACTAAACCTACACACTGAAGAATGCTTTTAGCTGAAACGTTTGTATATTATTCATAAAATTAAAATGCTCTTTGACAATAGTATAGGTGTGGACCTACTGTATTCTTTTGTGGACACACCAACTAAGAAACCGTTTGGGAGACCATAATGGTTTTCCATTCCATTTCCTTAAATGGGCAATCTGCAGTTGGTACATGATTGATACCCATTTGATTCTTGAAGAACAGAACTTATAAATGCCTCACGCACTTAGTTCAACTCTTATACCATCAGAACCCAAAATACAGTATAAGCTTGTTTTACTTCTTTGTTTGTAAACAATGTAAATGTAAACAAACACTGTATAGCCTCAAAACATGGTTAACACTATAATTTGATCAATCTTTGTATCCATAGCTCTGTCCATGAGTTTGAGAGTGGTTACATTTCTCCAGCCTCAAACCCTCAGCTGTTTATCAAATTGGTGGCAGGGTGCCCGCTTTGTTATAGTTGGGACTGCAGATTGCCCCTTTAACAAAACAATATATATTGTCTTTCCTTCTGTGTGTCCCTAGGAGCTGGGTCTGATCCGCAAGCCCGCCTCCTTCATGACCAGCATCTGTGACGAGCGCGGCCAGGAGCTCATATACGCCGGCATGCCCATCACCGAGGTGTTCAAGGAGGAGATGGGCCTGGGAGGCGTGCTGGGCCTGCTCTGGTTCCAACGCAGGTGAGAGTACAGTCTGGCCCCCTAGCAAAGAGACAGGAGTCCAGTCTGTTTGGGTCGGTGCCTAATGAACTGGACCCTAGTATACACATTGCAGTGTCTTCCAGTTGCTCGTGTTCTCCCTGCCTCTAAATGAATCAATAAGGAGTGTCTTTGATTGGCCAGAGATTTCTCACACCTGAGTTTTGTTAATTTGGCACCAAACGGAAGAAAAAGGACTGACACCAGGAAGGATTACCTGGACTTTTTGTACCTGCAGAATTTCGTTTTCTGTTGCAAAACATTTTCCGTTGCGTGCCCGTACGAATGAACACGACCCTGGTTACACAGTGCACACTCCACTTTGGCGTTTTGCACTGACATGACCCAATCACTTCTCCTCCTCCCCCTCCAGTCATCATCCCACATCTTGATTTGTCCCTAGGTTACCGCGCTACGCCTGCCATTTCATTGAGATGTGCCTGATGGTGACTGCAGACCACGGGCCAGCCGTGTCTGGTGCCCACAACACCATAGTCTGTGCCCGTGCCGGCAAGGACCTAATCTCCAGCCTGACATCCGGCCTGCTCACCATTGTGAGGATACACACACACATTTGTCCACACACACACACACACACACACACACACACACACACACACACACACACACACACACACACACACACTGTGTGACTTCCTGATTTCAAAATCTAATTTTTAAATGCAACTAGTCCAGAGACCATTAGTATCTATCCAATGGCTTCCATACCTCTCAGATTAAAGGTCTTGAAGGAAGGGAATGAGAGAAGGAAGATTTTAAAGACCATGACTTCTGCACTTGCACACTCCCCATCGTGGATTTAAAAAGCACAGCATTGGTCTAAGACTAAGCATTGGCTGGAGAGAGTTTCCACCATTTGTTAAATGAATGCAAGAAAGTGTGTAAATTCAGGAAAAGAGTGGAGAATTTTGATGTAGCCCACTGACAAAAAGGGTTGTCTTTACTTGTAAGAGTTTAGAGACGAATAAACTTTGTTGACATTGTTTTCCAGGGGGACCGCTTTGGAGGAGCTTTGGATGCTGCGGCCAAGCAGTTCAGCAAGGCGTTCGATAGCGGCATGCTGCCCATGGAGTTTGTCAACAAGATGAAGAAGGATGGCAAGCTGATCATGGGTATCGGGCACAGGGTCAAATCGGTGAGCAGTAAATGACAAGGATTTAAATTTAAATATAGCTCAATTTCCAGTTAATTTGAACAATTCAATCTCAATTTGTTTGACTGAATTTATACTGAACAAAAATATAAACACAACATGCAACAATTTCAAAGATTTTACTGAGTTAAAGTTCATGTAAGCAAATCAGTCAATTGAAATAAATTAATTAGGCCCTAATCTATGGATTTCACATGATTGGGAATACAGATAAGCATCTGTTGGTCACAGATACTGTACCTTAAAAAAAACTGCCTCACAATGGGCCTCATGATCTCATCACGGTGTCTCTGTGCATTCAAATTCCTGTCGATAAAATGCAATTGTGTTCGTTGTCCATAGCTTATGCCTGCCCATACCATAACCCCACTGCCACCATGGGGCACTCTGTTCACAACGTTGACATCAGCAAACCGCTCACCCACACAATGCCATACAGTGGTCTGTGGTTGTGAGGCCGGTTGGAAGTACTGCCAAATTCTCTAAAATGACTTTGGAGGTGGCTTATGGTAAAGAAATTAACATTAAATTCTCTGGCAACAGCTCTGGTGGACATTCCAGCAGTCAGCATGCCAATTGCACGTTCCCTCAAAACTTGAGACATCTGTGGCATTATGTTGTGTGACAAAACTGCACATTTTAGAGTGGCCTTTTATTGTTCCCAGCACAAGGTGCACCTGTGTAATGATCATGCTGTTTAATCAGCTTCTTGATATGCCACACCTGTCAAGTGGATGGATTATCTTGGCAAAGAAGAAATGTTCACTAACGGATGTAAACAAAATTTGAGAGAAATAAGCTTTTTGTGCATACGGAACATTTCTGGGATCTTTTATTTCAGCTCATGAAACATGGGACCAATTATTGGCAAAATATCTGATCTGATTGGTCAAAAGATAAATGAGTGGCAAAAGATCAGAATTGGGCTGCCTCTGTAAACACACAACTATAATGTTTGCTAATTGACACCATGATTTGCAAGAAAGTACACATTACACGGGGGAATCTCGAATTAAGATTTGATTCCCATCCTTAATCTTAATGCCTCACAATTAAATCAGTTCAGAAAAGTGTGTATACCCCTACAGCTCAGTGGCAGAATGGATAGATGTATATATTTGCTGGCAAAATGATCTAAATGTGTTGATTTAAAAATTGCAGATCAACAACCCCGACATGAGAGTCCAGATCCTGAAGGACTTTGTGAAGGGGCATTTCCCTGCCACTCAGATGCTGGATTATGCTCTGGATGTGGAAAAGATCACCACCTCTAAGGTACTGCACTCTACTAGCCTCTCACTTCTCTGCCTAGTGGGGCAGGCTACTTCTTTAGGGAATACTTGCCCCCAAAAGCGTATACGTGTGAGCAAAAGGATGGAAACTCATTCCAGCTATCAAAAACTAATGGTTTAAAAAAAAAAAAAAATCTGACCCCAATTATTTTTTTTTTACTTTCATTTTTGTCAAGGTTACAGGTACCATACATTCATATCAAGCGTAATGCTGCAGTTAACATAGTTTCTACTATTTTGAATCCATTCATGGAAGTTAGAGGGCATATTTGGCAGGGAAGGAAAGTAAGGTATTGGAACAATCTGTCCTTACCCCCTGACCTCTCATTCCTTTTCAAGGCCAAATGTATTAACTTGCACATACAGTGCATTCAGAAAGTATTCAGACCCCTTGACTTTTTCCACATTTTGTTACATTACAGCCTTATTCTAAAATTGATTAAATTGTTTTTTTCCCTCATCAATCTACACACACAATACCCCATAATGACAAAGCAAAAACAGGTTTTTAGAAATGTTTGCGAATTTATTACAAATAAACCGAAATATCACATTTACATAAGTATTCAGACCCTTTACTCAGTATTTTGTTGAAGCACCTTTGGCAGTGATTACAGCCTCGAGTCTTCTTGGGTATGACGTTACAAGTTTGGCACACATATATTTGGGGAGTTTCTCCCATTCTTCTCTGCAGATGCTCTAAAGCTCTGTAAGGTTGGATGGGGAGCGTTGCTGCACAGCCGTTTTCAGGACTCGCCAGAGATGCTCGATCACATTCAAGTCCGGGCTCTGGCTGGGCCACTCAAGGACATACAGAGACTTGTTGCGAAGCCACTCCTGCGTTGTCTTGGCTGTGTGCTTAGGGTCGTTGTCCTGTTGGAAGGTGAACCTTCACCCCAGTCTGAGGTCCTGAGCGCTCTGGAGAAGGTTTTCTTTAAGGATCTCTCTGTACTTTGCTCTGTTCATCTTTCACTCGATCCTGACTAGTCTCCCAGTCCCTGTCGCTGAAAAACATCCCTACAGCATGATGCTGCCACCACCATGCTTCATCGTAGGGATAGTGCCAGGTTTCCTCCAGACGTGACGCTTGGCATTCAGGCCAAAGAGTTCAATCTTGGTTTCATCAGATCAGAGAATTTTGTTTCTCATGGTCTGAGAGTCTTTAGGTGCCTTTTGGCAAACTCCAAGTGTGCCTTTTACTGAAGAGTGGCTTCCGTCTGGCCACTCTACCATAAAGGCCTGATTGGTGGAGTGCTGCAGAAATGGTTGTCCTTCTGGAAGGTTCTCCCATCTCCACAGAGGAACTAGAGCTCTGTCCGAGTGACCACCGGGTTCTTGGTCACCTCCCTGACCAAGGCCCTTCTCCCCTAATTGCTCAGTTTGCCTGGGCGGCCAGCTCTAGGAAGAGTCTTGGTGGTTTCAAACATCTTCCATTTAAGAATGATGGAGGCCACTGTTTTCTTGGACCTTCAATGCTGCAAAAAAAAATTTTGTACCCTTCCCCAGATCTGTGCCTCGACACAATCCTGTCTCGGAGCTCTACGGACAATTCCTTCGACCTCATGGCTTGGTTTTTGCTCTGACATGCACTGTCCACTGTGGGACCTTATATTGGCAGGTGTGTGCCTTTCCAAATCATGTCCAATCAATTGAATTTACCACAGGTGGACTCCAATCAAATTGTAGAAACATCTCAAGGATGATCAATGGAAACAATATGCACCTAAGCTCAATTTCGAGTCTCATAGCAAAGGGTCTGAATACGTATGTAAATAAGGTATTTCTGTTTTTTTATTTGTAATAAATTTGCAAACATTTCTAACAACCTGTTTTCACTTAGTCATTATGGGATATTGTGTGTAGATTGCTGAGGAAAAAAAAAAAAAAAATCTATTTTAGAATAAGGCTGTAACGTAACAAAATGTGGAAAAAGTCAAGGGGTCTGAATAATTTCCGAAGGCACTTTACGTTGTGATGCAGTCACGACCATAAGTATTACAAAACTCAGTTTTGGATGCACTGATGACTTCATGACCAAAATATCAGATTTACACTTTGTAGTACATTTTGACAGTATAGTAAATGTTTGACTCATATCGATGCCACATGGGCTGTTTTCTAAATGAGAAGTAGTTTTTCAGGAGGAGTTGCTTTTTAAAGTTACTGTATGCTGACTGACACAACCAAGGCTACTGAACTGTAAAGAAAAATGCAAGTGTCCACATAACAGACCAAATCAACTCCAAACATGACAGATAAGAAGCTGTTCTAGTATGAGAGATACTTTTAGAAAATGTAACATGTGGCAAGCATTTTTTTCTAGCTTTCAAATGGACACATTCTTGTCTTCTCTCCCCTGCAACTCTTTCCCGGGTCCTTAGTGTACAAGAGAAAGAAGTGCACTGTGTTTTCTGTCAATATACCTGGTAAAATAATGGTTAGCTTGCGGAGTCTGGTACTTGTGAGATTTGTTTGACAGTTTGCAGTGGAAAACATGAAAAATTGTATTAACTTTCAGAATGGTTTGGCGACCTACTCATGTGTTCTGCGAGCTTCTGGTAGCTCACGATCGACCTGTTGGAGACCCCTGCCCTATATGAATAAAAAGAGACATGAGCCAAAAAAAAAAAAAACTTTCCCATTTTAAACAGGGTTAATATCAAGTTGTTGTAAGGTTCAGCTTCAGTCCACAGGGGGGCACTGTGTCACTCAGAAACGTTTAGCTCTTTGGTCTCATCTAGCCAGCCAGTAGCTACCGAAGTGGCTAGCCAGCCAAGCTAGCTACAGAAACAAAACCCATCAAATACACTCGCTGGAAATAACACTATCTAATATCATGACTTATATCAACATCCTTAGCTTGCCCATTCACTAAATGTACTGTTGAATAAATCTGACACCCAATAGCTTAAGGATGCTGAGCACTAATGCTAGTTTATTAGCATTAGCCAGCCCTTATGCTGAGGGAGACTAGCTAGTTAGCTACCACCAACCCTGTACAAACCCGTGGCTAACTCTGCTGCTGCACTTTGGACTTTCTGACAGTTCGGCCCTCTCCACCTCATCCACTGCTGCCTGCTCGTGCTCAACCTGCTCGCTTCTTTTTCCTCTCTTTTGAAAGATGTTCCGAATATCCATCTTTTCTCTGTGCTACACTGCAGACTCTGAGTGACGATCGTTTTGCTGAGTGATGACATTGACATCTAACCGGTGCTGTGGGGGAGGGGTCAAGGGACGTGAGTGGTCCACTGCGTTGTAAAATCTTGACCGATCATAGCAGCTACCGCGTCACTCCAGGGGCTGCATGCAGTGCCTACTACTGTGTTTCCACTAGATAAGAGCCACAAAGTCAAAATTGGTCTTAATTCAAGCTCAGGCATAAGGTTAGCAGTGAGGTTAGGGTGAGGTTTTGTAGAGACATTTTAGAAATAGGTGGGGTTTAGCCATAATTAATACTTTGTGGCTGTGTTAACTAGTGACAACCCTACTACTGCCTAGCACAGTGTATTGTTATTTTTGTCATTAAAATGTGTAAGTAAGGGGCCTCCGAGTGGCGCAATGCTAGAGGCGTCTCTACAGACCCGGGTTCAATCCCGGGCTGTATCACAACCGGCTGTGATCGGGAGTCCCATAGGGTGGCGCACAAATGGCCCAGCATCGTCCGGGTTAAGGGAGGGTTTGGCTTATCGTGCTCTAGCGACTCCTTGTGGCGGGCCTCGCGCCTGCAGGCTGACCTTGGTCATCAGTTGAACGGTGTTGCCTCCGACACATTGGTGCGGCTGGCTTCCGGGTTAAGCGGGCGGGTGTTAAGAAGCGCGGTTTGGCGGGTCATGTTTCGGAGGACGCCTGACTCGACTTTCGCCTCCCGAGCCCATTGGGGAGTTGAAGCGATGAGACGATCGAAATTGGGGAGGAAAAAAAGGGGAAACAAAAGAAAACTATATATAAGTAAAAAATGTAATAATTTGTACTGCCTAACGCATGTGGTATGTGGTTATGGAAACACATATCAGACTGAATTTTAAAAATATATATTTGTCCAAAAGGTTCAGGGGTGATGCCACTGGCCCAGAGGTCAAAGGTCAAAGTTCTGTTGACCTGAACATTCCATAAATGTTTCTGATGGATAGCTGTGAATGTTAACTTTATAATGATATATGATTAATGGGTATATGTGAGCAATAACGTGTTGTATACTGAGATTGTTTGTCATAGAGTAAAATCCCTATAGGACTAATGAATGGGATCGAGGGATGAATGAAAGAGTGATAACAGATATTCGTCACAATATTGTTTTGAAGGTTAATTTTGAACTGATGCCCAACTGAGCATTCTACTCAATTCATCATCAATAAGCGCTGATGAAGATTTCATCAAAAGTGCATTACAGTGGCTTGGAAATACAATGACTTTCAAAAGGAGGCAAATAATTAGTAGGAAAACATTTTGTCATTTTGATGTATGAAAATGTATGCACTCACTAACTGTAAGTCGCTCTGGATAAGAGCGTCTGCTAAATGACTAAAATGTAAATGTAAAAAATGATGTCACCTGATTTGACTTTAGACGTTAGCTAGCTAGCTAAGATTGAGGGGAGGCCACCGGATCGTAGCTAGCTAACGTTAGCATTGCTAGCTATTTTGGACAAACTTTGCTAGCTAATGACAACATTGCCCTCTGTCTAAAGTAAATTTGGCGACATGATAATGCTTGCAAAGTTGTTTCCTACTAAATATTTCACTACTTTAGCAATGTCATCGTATTTCCAGGTACTATAGTGTAATTTAGATGAAACCGTAGTTGGCGTCCGTCCGATTTCATTTAATTTTTTCAGGAGGTGATTTAGGCTACATGCAGCTATTTACATTTTATACGCAAAAGACATGATCGACATGTTCGTACAAAGTTTGTTTGTTGTCTGTTGTAACAGTATTGCAAACCTAAGCATGACACAAACAGGCAGTCTAGCGATTTCATGTTCTTCTTAGCTGCTGAGTTACAATACATGCAGGCGAGTTCGTTTTGACATTGCCCGGTGCCCCGTGTAGGTTGAGTGTGCACATTTGAGACAGTTCCATTGCCCCAATGCAAAACTCCAAATGGGGAGTTACATGCAGCTATCTAGGCAGCATATTAAACACAAGCAAGACACGTAATCTAATTAGCGGTTTAATGTTCTTTTTTCTTCATCATTGTACACATTGGCTAAGCAGGAGGCAGACAGGCAGTCAGTCGTAGTGTTGTTTTTTCAGGAACTCTGGCTAGTGGCTACGATATGGCAGCAACTATAAATATTAGCCTACATCATCTCAGAAAATGCTGATTGTTTTTGCTCTAATGCAATGTGTAGGGAATGCGTATGTCCTGCTTGTGCAACTGCAATGTCCATTAGGACAGAAGGTAAAAAGGTTATAGCCTTTGGAATGTTCGTTCAAATTGCCGCAGGGTTTTTATTTCAGCTGTTCAGAAATATCAGGCAGAGACTAGCTACATCATCGTGGTTGAGAAGGGGGTGAGTAAAGAGAAACGTGAAGGGATAGGGAGTGTGAGCAGCAACTACGTAGAAAGAAATGTGCATAAAAATAACACATGCGCCGAGTGTGATCCGGATTCTTAACTTTAAGAAAGAGGTTCCCAGAGGGGCGGGTGGAGGCGGAGCGGGGGCATACTCAGTATTCACAGCCAAACAATAATGAGCAGTTATTTATGATGCAAAGTGATTTGTAGATCAGTCTGCCGCAATGCCGGCTGCAATGTTGAACAAGCCCATTGATTCATCAACTAAGTATTGTTGTTTCTCTCCTGTCTCTGTGTGCAGAAACCCAACCTGATCCTCAATGTGGACGGCTTCATCGGTGTGGCCTTTGTGGACCTACTTAGGACGTGTGGTGGATTCACACGGTAAGAGGACGTTTCTCTTTTTATATCTTGCATGTGGCCAAATCTTTACTTAAGGAATGTGTGCAAAACGTGAACTTTGGCTCAAATCATGCATTCATTGATGTCAATTTGAGATTGCTGTTAAAAATCGAGCTACTCACAATATGACTCTTCCCTGAGTGTTAATCGCTTGTAGAAAAGCAAGCTGAGCTGGCCTGTTTTAATTCAGGTGTGTAGGTCTGATGGAGGTTTGTCCTCCTATCATTCACATACAAAGATATTAAGTGGCTGTGCACATTATATTTTCCCAACACGTTTCAGAGAAGACTGTAATAGTGACTTTGTAGTTGCAGTCTGGCAAGTGTATGTGTTCTGCGTTACAGAGACGAAGCGGACGAGTTTGTGGAGATTGGTGCACTGAACGGGATCTTTGTGCTGGGCAGGAGTATGGGCTTCATCGGTGAGTCCCATTGGCTTAGATCGGTGTCTCACAACATTAAACCCACCTCATATAAAATCTGGTTCGAATACACAAATATTTGAAATTCAACCCAGGTCTGCAGTATATGCTGGATTTCACTCATCAGTTTAACACTAATTTGAATGTCCAGTTAACTGAAGAACACTGAGGATCACCTACACTGTAACAAATTGGTGTACATTTAGTTAGCTACTGTAATTCCATTTTACAGTAAGGTACTGTATTACCTGTTTTGCTGTATATTTACAAAAGTATACTGTGAATGATGGTGCATTGTGAGAAAATGTTGTGGGCAGGGAAAGAATCTCTGGCTCATTAACATATTTTGAGGCATCCCTTGTAAGAGGATTTATTTGTTGCACACGTTAGTGAGAATGCTGTACCCCACAAAATACAGTACCATACCATATTTAAAAATTGAATGTGTATAGGGGACAGATCAGAGTGGCAGCAAGTCTCAAACCTTTAATGGTTGAGTCTTTTGCCATGTCCTTTTGATCTGTTTTTGACCTGTGTTCACTGCCAGTTTAGAAGCCTTTGTTAAGGTCTCTATAAGTGCAAGTGATATAAAACACCAAATATTCATTGCCAGGCTGCAATATATAATTACATATTCACTGTTAGCAATTGCTGTAATTGTATTACAATACAATTTAACGATAAAGTACTGTATTGCTGTTTTGCTGTATGTTTAATGCAGCTTACTGTAAATTAGGGTGCGTTGTTAAAAAAAAGTTGTCGGAGGGGAAAGAATCACTGGCTCATTACATTTTTTTGAGGCGTGCCTTCTAAGTGGCTATTTTTGTTGCACCTGTTATTGAGAGTGCTGTACCAATTGAACTGATATGTGGTACATTTACATTTACATTTTAGTCATTTAGCAGACGCTCTTATCCAGAGCGACTTACAGTTAGTGAGTGCATACATGATTTATTTATTTTTTCATACTGGCCCCCCGTGGGAAACGAACCCACAACCCTGGCGTTGCAAACGCCATGCTCTACCAACTGAGCTACATCCCTGCCGGCCATTCCCTCCCCTACCCTGGACGACGCTGGGCCAATTGTGCGCCGCCCCATGGGTCTCCCGGTCGCGGCCGGCTACGACAGAGCCTGGATTCGAACCAGGAACTCTAGTGGTAGTAGTGCCCTAACAATTTAATGTGTATAGGGGACAGATCAGAGTGGCAGCAAGTCTTAAACCTTTACTGGTTGCAGGAGTGGTGTTAACGCAGACATAAAAAAAAAAAGAGAACGCATAAGAAATATCTTGCTGCGTTTTGTAAAAGGAGATCTGAAATGCTTATTGTAATATCTGCTAATTTTGTACTTCAGTTGCACTTTTCCACTCGGATAACAATTCACGAACAGGCATCAGACAGCGCTCTGATGTGTAGCCTACTTTTCTCCGTTAAAATGCAAGATTAACTTCAAGAAAAACATTCGGAATATGATGGCCATGCATCGTTTTTGCGAAAAAGACCTGGCTTTTTCATTGTAAGCTCATTTACTTGATGAAAATGAAGCTATTTTCTACAGAATGTGTTGTCCTCATTTATTTTCTGTGAAGGAAAACTATAGTTGCACACCCCTGATAACTCTATTGAAGCAAAAAAACACTGTTGACTTTCAATATAAAACGCAGGTGAAATAGTTTAAAATGCAATTTTATGCGGATGTTGTGCGTTTTGAAAATGCAGATTTCTAACGCGACCCCTGGGTTGAGTGTTTTGCCAAGTCCTTTTGGTCTATTTTGCCCTGTAATCACGGGCAGTTTGGAAGCCTCTAGAAGTGCAAGTGATATAAATGATCAAATATTCAGAAATATGCTGTAATATACTAATACCTAGCAGCCAACCTTCTTGCACCAATCCAATGTAATTCTGTGCTGCCAGTATGTTACTGTAGATTTACAGTAACCTACTCTTCTGCCAGTAATTTACTGTAGAAATTACAGGATCCTTTTTACAGTGTACTGGATAGATGAATTAATGGGTCTGTCCAGCATGGCGGTGCATAGGGAAAGGTCTACATTTACGTTTTGGTCATTTAGCAGACGCTCTTATCCAAAGTGACTTACAGCCAGTGCATTCAACTTAAGGTAGCTAGGTAAGGCAACCACAAATCACAGTAATAGTAAGTTATAAGGTGTAGTTAAATATGGTCTAGTTAATCAATAATCACTTTCTCTACTTCCCATCGTTAGGTCATTACCTGGACCAGAAGAGACTTAAACAGGGCCTGTACCGCCACCCATGGGACGACATCTCCTACGTGCTTCCTGAACACATGTCAATGTAACTGATGACAGCGAGTCGGCACCTCTGGATGTCAACACCCAGCTATGACGGGAAGCGTTTTCACCTTTCTTCCCATCACTACAACAACCGCTTCCTTGGGGAACACGGGCAGGGTGAATCCAGAGGTGGGAAAAAGGTGGAGGGACATGGGGGAAGACAGGGAGCGTTAGTTTTATTCGTAGGTCACTGAAAAAAAGGGGAATCATATCATGTTATTTAAATGAGTTCAAGATATAAGTTATTGAATCGTTAACAAAAAAGGAGCCAAACCAATGCAAGCTCAAGCTGTGGTCACACTAGGTTGATTAGTCACCGGTACACAAATGGGACCGTGACGCACACTTGTTTTGGACCGTGCCACCTGGTTGGTTGAGTGATTGGTTAATCTCCTACTCACTTCTGATTTATGTTAATCTCTTACTAAACTAGCAAACGATTGGTTGAGCTGTATAACAGGGCTTTCCCTTCTTTAGGCCCCTAGGATGTGTACTGTTGAAAGGAAGCATGCTTTCTGGGTAACTTAGTAATGCACATAACATGAACACTAGGTTGCCGATGGAGAAGTAGTCATAGTCGATAAACCTGCATCCCTCAATGGGGTGTAAAACCCTTGAACGATCCACAGTCAAAGACAGTCAAAAACCAAAGTATTGTTTGAATAATATTGTATTAGATTTTATTCACATTTAATGTAGTTTCCGACCTTAATCCCCTTCCAATGTTTTGTAGCCCATTATGGTATGTACACTGGCTGTTCATGATAGGGGGGCACGGTTTAACTAGCTGAATTTTAAAGTGTCTCTGCCACTGCCTTTCCCATCCCCTCTGTCATTGGAGGAAACGATCATGTTAACTTTAATATTTTCATCCATTTAGATTTCAAGAAATTACAAATTATACAATGGTGGTGTTAGTTAAAAATGAGTTATTTTAGAATGTTTCTAAATAAAGGTGAAAGGAATAAACCCTGTAAAAGTAGGAGTGTTTAATTGCTTTAAAATGTGCCCTGTGAGTCTTAAACGCACCTTTTGCGAGGGACCATGAAGGCAGTGTATTTTATCTGGGAAAATAGTTTCTGATTTGCACGTATGACTAGACTACTGCTATCAAGGACCTGACCTGTGTGGCGCCATTTTACTTTATGACCTCAATGTTCTGTGAAAGGTATGTTTGTTCTCTTTGTTTTGCTCTGTTTTATTTAAATGTGAATTAAATATGCTTCTTCTCAGTTTATGAAATATATGCCCAGAACTGTTATATTGTAGTTTAATAAAGACGTTCTTGGTTAACTTTTCATTGCGGCTATTTATTATCACTAAGTGATGCATGTAATGCGGTATCTAGCGGCTGTCAGTGTTCTCTTTTTTCCAAAGGTGCTGGTCAACACAACAAGTAGGTTTGAAGGATATAGTATCATCCAAATATATCCTCCAAAATAGTATATAGTCTAACTCAGCATATACAGAGAGGGGAGAAATAATTTGGTGTGGGAATATATCTTTTTTTAAGTGTCCCTGAACAGGAATACAAACTCCCACAGGGGAGAAAGAGCATACTGCTCTGCCTGTGGTAAAATATTAAATCCGAAATCTGACCAGCCTGTCAAAAGAAAAGGAAGAAACTGGATAAATGAGGACAGAGATCAATTCAATCAATTGAGAACTGCATGCTGGTTAGGTGGATGCTGTCGAATCAGTCCCAATATGTTATTGTCAAGAGTAATCCGTATTTCAATGTGTTGTCTTTTAGTAAATGTAAGAGATGATCATCCTAGATAATCCTATTACTGTAGCATGTAGTAACCCCATCTAGTTTGCAGCGCTTTTATTTGTTTCCAGGACTTACCATCTACTGATGAACACTGAAGAAAACACAGAAGGAAGTAGAATTGAGGCGAGTTTGTTTTGACTCGAAGAGTTGGACATTCCTTGTGGACGAATGCCCAACTGAGTGAAAATGTCTAAACTACAGGCGTTGACTGTGTTTAACGGCAGTAGCCGTGGAGATTTTCCGAGCTTTTCAGAAAGTGGTAGCGGAGTACCAGGAGGAGATCTCCCGATCAAAGGTGGAAAATAATCAGCCTAGGCAGCTGATAGTGCAGATCAAGAGGCCACTATCATCTAGGATTGATGTTCCCAACCAATACACTGGTGTCCCCCATGGACCGGCTCGTACATAAAGCATCCTCCATTCAGGCATCATTTCCCTCCTTAACTAGCCTTATTGGCGGACCGTCGTTGGAAAAAAAATTGACAAATACAGTGCATTCGGAAAGTATTCAGACCCCTTGACTTTTTCCACATTTAGTTACGTGACAGCCTTATTCTAATATGGATTAAATTGTTGTTTTTTTCCGTCATCAATCTACACACAATACCTCAAAATGACAAAGCAAAAACTGTTTTTTAGAAATGTTTGCCTATATATATACACTACCAGTGAAAAGTTTGGACACTCTTTCAAGGGTTTTTCTTTATTTTTACATTGTAGAATAATACTGAAGACATCACAACTATGAAATAACACATTTGGAATCCTGCAGTAACCAAAAATTGTTAGACAAATCAAAATATATTTTATATTTGAGTTTCTTCATATAGCCACCCTTTGCCTTGATGACAGCTTTGCACACTCTTGGCATTCTCTCATCCAGCTTCATGAGGTAGTCACCTGGAATGCATTTTAATTAACAGTTGTGTTGTGACAGGTATGGGGGTATACAGAAGATAGCCCTATTTGGTAAAAGACCAAGTCCATATTATGGCAAGAACAGCTCAAATAAGCAAAGAGAAACTACAGTCCATCATTACTTTAAGACATGAAGGTCAGTCAATATGGAAAATGTGAATAACTTTTAAAGTTTCTTCAAGTGCAGTCGCAAAAACCATCAAGCACTATGATGAAACTGGCTCTCATGAGGACCGCCACAGGAATGGAAGACCCAGAGTTACCTCTGCTGCAGAGGATATGTTCATTAGAGTTACCAGCCTCAGAAATTGCAGCCCAAATAAATGCTTCACAGAGTTCAAGTAACATACACATCTCAACATCAACTGTTCAGAGGGGACTGTGTGAATCAGGCCATCATCGTGGAATTGCTGCAAAGAAACCACTGGTCTGGAGTCCAAATTTGAGATTTTTGGTTCAAACCGTCGTGTCTTTGTGAGACGCGTGTGGGTGAACGGATGATCTCAGCATGTGTAGTTCCCACCGTAAAGCATGGAGGAGGAGGTGTTATGGTGTGGGGGTGCTTTGCTGGTGACACTGTCTGTGATTTATTTAGAATTCAAGGCACACTTAACCAGCATGGCTACCACAGCATTCTGCAGCGATACACCATCCCATCTGGTTTGGGCTTAGTGGGATTATCATTTGTTTTTCAACAGGATATTTACATTTAAGTCATTTAGCAGATGCTCTTATCGAGAGCAACTTACAAGTTGGTGCATTCAACTTAGGATAGCCAGTGGGACAACTACCCTTTTTTGTGGGGGAGGGGGGGTGTAGAAGGATTACTGTTATACTATTCCAGGTATTCCTTAAAGAGGTAGGGTTTCAAGTGTCTCCGGAAGGTGGTCAGTGACTCCGCTGTCGTGGGGGAGCTTGTTCCACCATTGGGGTGCCAGAGCAGTGAATAGCTTTGACTGGGCTGAGCGGGAACTGTGCTTCCGTAGAGGTAGGGGGGCTAGCACGCCAGAGGTGGATGAACTTAGTGCCCTCGTTTGGGTGTAGGGTCTGATCAGCGCCTGAAGGTAAGGAGGTGCCATTCCCCTCACAGCTCCGTAGGCAAGCACCATGGTTTTGTAGTAGATGCGAGCTTCAACTGGAAGCCAGTGGAGTGTGCGCAGGAGCGGGGTGACATGAGAGAACTTGGGAAGGTTGAACACCAGACGGGCTGCAGTGTTCTGGATAAGTTGTAGGGGTTTAATGGCACAGGCAGGGAGCCCAGCCAACAGCGAGTTGCAGTAATCCAGACGGGAGATGACAGGTGCCTGGATTAGGACCTGTGCCGCATTCTGTGTAAGGTAGGGTCGTACTCTGCAAATGTTGTAGAGCATGAACCTGCAGGATCGGGTCACCGCATTGATGTTAGCGGAGAAAGACAGGGTGTTGTCCAGGGTCACGCCAAGGTTATTTGCACTCTGGGAGGAGGACACAATGGAGTTGTCAACAGTGATGGCGAGATCATGGAGCAGGCTGTCCTTCCCCGGGAGGAAGAGCAGCTCTGTCTTGCCGAGGTTCAGCTTGAGGTGGTGATCCGACATCCACACTGATATGTATGCCAGACATGCAGAGATGCGATTCGCCACCTGGTTATCAGAAGGGGGAAATGAGAAAATTAATTGTGTGTCGTCTGCGTAGCAATGATAGGAGAGACCATGTGAGGATATGACAGAGCCAAGTGACTTGGTTTATAAAAAGAATAGGAGAGGGCCTAGAACTGAGCCCTGGGGGACACCAGTGGTGAGAGCACGTGGTGCGGAGACAGATTCTCGCCACGCCACCTGGTAGGAGCGACCTGTCAGGTAGGACGCAATCCAAGAGTGAGCAGCGCCGGAGATGCCCAACTCGGAGAGGTTGGAGAGGAGGATCTGATGGTTCACAGTATCAAAGGCAGCAGATGGGTCTAAAAGGATAAGAGCAGAGGAGAGAGAGTTAGCTTTAGCAGTGCGGAGAGCCTCCGTGACACAGAGAAGAGCAGTCTCAGTTGAATGACCAGTCTTGAAACCTGACTGGTTTGGATCAAGAAGGTCATTCTGAGAGAGATAGCAAGAGAGAGGCAGGCTAGAGACGGCACGCTCAAGAGTTTGAGAGAAAAGAAAGAAGGGATACTGGTCTGTAGTTGTTGACATCGGAGGGATCGAGTGTAGGTTTTTTGAGGAGGGGTGCAACTCTCGCTCTCTTGAAGACGGAAGGGACATAGCCAGCGGTCAAGGATGAGTTGATGAGTGAGGTGAGCTAAGGAGAAGGTCTCCGGAAATGGTCTGGAGAAGAGAGGAG